ACATGGTGGCCGAACTTTTGCAAGTCGAGTTTTCTAGGCCACCATGTAGAAATAGTCTAGAAATGTCCTGATATTCATCTGGTGTTTTCTAGGCAATTATAACGTGGTGGCCTAGAAAACTCAATTTGCAAAAGTTAGGCCACCATGTCAAAATGATCTAGAAAATATACCAGGGTCATGTTGGACCAATTCTAGGTCAAAAAATTAATTTCGATAAATCCCTTGAAAAAATTCTTGAAGCCGAGTTGAAAGGATACACTGATAACGAGTATTCTGTTCCAAAGATCATTACTCACCGGCACGCCTCCATATTTGGTGGGCATTCCTCCTTCTTGACGATGTTTCCATTGCTGCCACGTGGACGAGTTCTTGTTCCTCTCGCCACCTTTTTCGGAGAATTCTCCTTCACTTCATCTCCCTCATCTGATGAAATTTCCGATACATCATCTGAATCAGATCCACTGATGTCTTCCTCCTCTTCTCCTGTGTCACTATCAGAGTCACCTTCCCCTTCTGATTCCGAATCTGACATTTCCACTTCGCTGAAAAGGAAGAAAAAGGTGTTTTTGATAAGAAACATTTGCAAAGCACAGAGGACGAGTGTGTTTTCATTAATCACTTTATTTGAACAAACGGTGAACATTTAAAAAAAAAGCAGGGTGTGTATAACTACCTTTCTTCGGCATCAGATTCATCTGACCCCTCTTCTCTTTTCGTTTTCTTGGCCTTTGGCTCGGATTTCTTAGAACTTGTAGACTTTTTGGAATCTTCGAAACCATTATTATAGTACCTGAAACCAAAAGTTGTTTTACAATTTCAAATTTTTTCACCAACTTGTCCACAACTTTATCCAGTCCATCAGATTCGAAAATGTTCGGCGCTGTGGAATGAACTCCTTTGAGTACCACCGTAGCAGTTGCTCCCGTATCCAATTCTTTTCGAATCAATCGAATCAAAACTTCTAGCTCGTCGTGACGGAATCGTTTCGCTGCAAACTTCAGATGCTTAACGATCTCATCGTCTTCTTTAAGAGTCTCCAGCTTTTCGAGGAATCGGTCCACTTTTTGAAGACTCCAATTCGACTTCTCGTTTGTCACTTTCTTCTCGTGAGCATGAGCAATCGACAGTGCAACATCGTTACTCTTGGATATGTACTTTAGAATCTTTGCCTCGTCGGTGTCCAAAATCTGTAAGTTTGAAGGGTTTTAGCAAAAAGCGCTGGTCATAAATTAAGAAAAAATGGGGGGGGGGGGGGGGGGGGGGAGGGTTCAGTTGATTTTGACCATTTTCAGGAGTCTGGTGCTCGGCTGTCAAGTATCCGATCACTTTGAAAACTTTGGAGGGTGTGAAACAGATCTAGATTGAAAACTTTGCATTTACTGAATTTTTCGAAAATTCCTAGTTTTTCCGCTATTTTCAGTTTTGTGAAGGACGCCCCTATTTTCCGATTTTTGTACTGAAAGCTTGGTGTCCTTCAGAAATCGACAAATTACTGAAAAACAAGGGATTTTCAAAAAATTCTGTGGACCCAAAGTTTCCAATCGAGGTCTGTTTTATAACCTCCAAAATTTTCCAAGTGATCCGACACTTGACAACCAAGCTCCAGTCTCCTGAAAATGGTCAAAATAGCTGGAAATCAACGGAAAAACTCATTTTCTCATATATTTTTGGGACCAGAACTGTAGCTAACCTTGACAAAATATGAAACCAGCTTCTCATCAGTCACATTGTAATCCCGTTTATCGGATTCGCGAATGAGAAAAGAGAGCCAGAGCATTAGATCTCCATCAAATCCTTTTTTCTGAAGCATAGACGTGATGACGGCTGATTTTTCAGAGGATGAACTGATGTCCTTCATCACTGAACAAACTTTGAGGAACTAAAAAATTACATGTTTTCATTAAAGTTTTTCTCAGAATTCCCAACCTTGTAGAACGAATTGTAATCTGATTCTTCATTGAATTCCGTTGGTCGTTTGCTCTTCGCAGGCTCATAATTTTTCCTTTTTCTTGATGGCGTTTCTTCAACTTCTTCCTTGGATTCACTCTTCTTCTTTGAAGGCGTCTTTTTCGGTTCAGCTGGTCCATCTTTACTTCTCTTTTCAGTGAGCTCATCAACCAATTTTTTAATCTCATCTTGATCCTCCGCATTTAAATCTTCAAACCCTTCAATTTCTTCTGTTTCATCGATAACTTTTGTGGTTGGTCTTGCTTTGAAAAGCATCTCAAAAAGGCATTCCTTGTGGAAATATTGCTTCATATCTGGTGGTGGTTTGCTAGGATCCTTTGCCGCGACAAAAAAGTTTGGCATGATTTTCCCCATACGGAGGACCTGGAAAACTTGTAGAATAGTTAAACTAATCATTTGGAATTTCGAATATTCACCCCTTTCTCCAACTGCATTTTACATTTTTGACACTTCGCAACTCGTTTTGCGTAATCGGTGCAGAATCTCGGTGGAACCGAAGTAGCCATCTGAATATCAAATTGTTAGAAATATTGATCAACGGAAAAAGATATGATTAGTACTATTAAACAAAAGAAATGGGTGAAAAACCAATGAATAAGTTCTAAATATATTTATTTATCCCGTTATGTTTGTTAATGGCTAGAAAGGCTAGATTTTTCAGAATTCACAAGAAAATACTAAAAATACAGTGTAAAAATCAATGGGGAAGGGGTGAGCGACTAGTATTCGGGCGGAATAGTTTTCCGCGAAATTCAAAAATTCGCAATAGAGCGACATAGATTTAACGTATCGATGCATACATAGAGAAAAAGGAGAAAAATACAACGAAGACAAACAATTATACTCCGAAGAAAGTGCGTATCATAGTTTCTGCAGCCAGTCCTGGTGTGATTTTGCCACTGCTAATATCCTTTTCCAGTTTTGGAGCCTGCAAAAGTAAATTGATAAATATTTTATGATTTTTTAGATGAATCTTACCAAGTGAGCGATTTTCGGATGTTTTTGAAATACAGCCATGATTTCATCTTTTACGTGATTCCACATCCATTTCTTCATCTGATCCTGTCGTCTTCTTTCCAGATCTCCCGACTCTCCAATAGTGTCCCAGAACTCGTATAAACTAGTGCAAACTGCCGACACCGATTCCTTGTTCATAATCGAGGATCTCATGACTTTTGGACTCCAGACGTCCAGTCGTGGTCTCATGAATTTCAGTGCAGAGATGTATTCAGCTTGTGTCATTTTAGCTTTCGCTTGCAAATCCCCATCATCCTTCGTTACAACCAAAAGATCACTCATCTCCATGATACCTCGTTTCACTCCTTGCAACTCGTCACCATGAGCAGGAGAGAGCAGCAAACACATCATATCACACATGTCCGAGACAGAAGTTTCCGATTGACCGACTCCGACAGTTTCAATGATAACAATATCGTATCCAGCACCTTCACATAAGATGACTGCTTCATGGATTCCACGTGTCACTCCCCCGAGTGATCCAGAAGTCGGAGATTGGCGGATGTACGCTCTCGGATTCCGTGAGAGTTCTTGCATTCTTGTCAGGTCACCAAGAACTGAACCACCTGTCATTGCACTTGTGGGATCAATCGTTAATACAGCGACTTTCTTTCCTCGGTTCTCAGTCAGCTCTGCGCCTAATGCTTCGATGAATGATGATTTTCCAACTCCTGGACTTCCAGATATTCCCACTCGAAAAATCATGGAATCCCTTCCGTATTTCTTATACTTTTCTCGTTCTTCGTCCAAAACCATTTTGAGAAGCATGTTGCCCTGAGCACGTTTTGTTGGGTGTCGTGATTCAACGAGCGTGATAGCAGAAGCTAGAGCTGCTCTACTTCCAGACATCAAATTTTTGAATAACCTTTGCACTGTAGGATCATCATAAGTTACCGTGTCGTCCCAATGAACTCGAGAATATTGCTCCAGAAGATTATCAAATGGCAATGACTTTTGAACTCCGCTCACAGAGGGGATATATGGTTTTGGGTTAAAAGATGAAGCGGCTAACGAGGAATATCTGGAAAGAAAACATATTGAATGAGCAGGTTTTTAGCATTTTTAAAAACATACCTACAACTAATCCGAGAAAGTGGATGTGCTCTGACCAAAGCTCTTACTACCATCTATAACAGAAAGACAATCAGAGATTACACATCTCAATTTGTAGAAAAGAATGGGTCGAAGTAAAATCATCACGTGTTTTGATACACGATTTCTAGATGAAGACACAAAATAAAAACAGTTGAGTAAACAATTGATTTCATTCGATTAAAGTCCAATTTTTGGTTGTTTTACAGATAATATCTGAGGGAAAATGTTCGAGATCTCACATTTCATAAAGTATATTTGGAGTAGATTTAATGATTTACAAGTTAGTTTTGATGAAGAAAAGCTAGATGGAGACAATAAAAATGAAGCTTGTTTTAATCGATGAATGATTACTATTTTAAATTTTTTACAGGATTCTGGTAAGGTTTTCTGAGAAACAATTAACTAAGATCATCGACACCTCGTGTCTCAATGAGTAGTTTATCCCAGTCGATTCTGGCTTGGAAGACTTCTTGCTCCAGCCATTTTTCATAGCCTTTTTTGAATTTGAATCCAAGTTCGATGTTTTCTCCAAGAACTGAATGCGCACAGGTGTCCACTGGTTGGTAGTCCCTCATATCCACTCGATTCAAATAGTCATCACCAGGCATCGGAGCGTCATTGACCTCTGAATTTTAAAAATCAGAATTTTTGTGAAATCTACTGGAACATACCTATAGCAAACTGGGGATAAAGTTTGGAATACCGTCTACTGTGGAACCGTTCGATGCTTGCTTTAATGAGACTATCCTCTTTTTGATAGTCACACTTCCGTTTGATATCAGAAGCGAAAGCCCAATCATCGGTCATTCGATGACGAACTTTCGAGTAAATTGCTGATATAATATCCATGTTACTCTTCCGCCATTGTCGTCCCAAGTATCGTGACTGCATTTTTATCGCCTTCAGCACGTAGAGTTGTAGAATCGAGACACGAACTTTGAAAAGTCTTTTCAAAACTGGCGCCGACTTGAATACCATCAGCATTTTCACTCGGTCATTTTTGGCTTTGACCAATTTATTGAGAAGGCGAATGAGATTAACGGCGAAGAATACATTGCGCCACATAAAGTATGGACCAGCACCTGGAGGCCGTGGCTCTTCGATGTTATCCTGAGTTAGGATAGGCCATTCTTCTGAAAATAAAATTTTGAATGAGGAAACAAAAAATTGACAAAAATCTCACCGTTATTGCGAACATAGTGATAGAGACATTGTGGATAGTTGTAGGCGTAGATTTCATGTCTCGATTGAATAAGTTTGTTTGTGTTCTGAAAAGGGAGGAGACATAGAAACAGCAATCAGGTCACTATTTGATGTCTGCACGTATCTTTCAAAAAGCAACCTTTGAAAAATAAGAAACGCAGAGAACGAGCGAGTCAGCAGGGGGCGAAAAATGAACTTTGGTGGGACAAGGTCGCTATTGGAACTTTGGCAGAAGAATGAGAACTTACTTGGTCGAGGAACTTCAAAATCAGTGGAATTCCATTCACATAAACGATTTGCTGACAGATGAATTCGAACTGGTAAACGTGGTTCAACTTGAAGTGCTTGACGAGAAGAAGAAGAATTGCTGACAACGACTTTACTATGATCTCCTTGTGGCGATTGATGTCAATTGCAAGGCGGAATCCTTCCTCCAATGGAGATGAAGTTGAATTATCGAGGGATATCGAATTCGATAGAATGTCAGAAGCTTCCATTTCTGGTGTAAGACAATCGATCAGCACGTTTAGTCCTTCATGTCTAGCCTTCGTTGATGGGACCGAAGAGACCATGACCTTCACAAGGGCACAAATGTACTGGCTCAAATTGGGTAGTATCTTTCTATACAATGCTTCTGTTTTCGTTTCAGGAATCTCTTCTTTCATTGAGAATAAATATCTGTTCAGTTGTTCTTCTTTCTTCACTTGCATTTCAGTGAGTGATGTGTACATGTTCTTGCGAAGAATGTTGACAGCACCACAAAACGCCGAGGGCAATCCGAAAAGCGAAGTAGAATCTCCTGGTTCGAAGTCATAATTGAAATACTTGAGTCGTCCTTTTTGAATGAAATCCTCAATATCTTGAGCGTTAGTTTTACACTTCCATGGCAAAGTTTTCTTTTGAACAATTGGAAAAACAGGGGATCCAACTCTAGGAGTCTGTTCACCACTACTTTGGCGGAAACTTTGCGAGCTCTCCGGAACCGAAGGAGGAGTTGAAGACGTCGCATTCGGAGAGTCCTCCTTTTTCGACATGACTGTGGAAGCTTCGGAGCTAGTATCTGAATAGGCATCTTCATCTTTGGAATCATCGTTATATGCCATTTGTCTAGCCATCATTCCAGCTCTTGCAAGACTTCCAGCTCTGTGAGCCATATTACGGACGTGTTCCTGCTCCTTGGCGATAAACGCAGCTTGTGATGCTGCCACTGTAATAGTGTCTTCCATAACTTCAAGACCGGCTTTAATTCGTAGCTCTCTTTTCTTTGCGGCAAGCTCTTCCCATCCACCCAGAGAAAGAAGCAGAATCTTCCAAATTAGTAAGACTATTTTTTTGATTGGAAAGTGGGGAGCAGTTCCAATGTAAAACGGATGAAGCATATCAAAGAGAACGATGAGTAGTGGTTCGTTTCCATTCTCAATTGGTTCTTGTACTTCTTCTCGGAAGGCGTTACGCAATTCGATATCTTCATCTGTATCATCTTCTCTTCCAGACCGCTCATCAAGAATTTGAACGATCATATGGTAAATTCCAGCAAGAATAACACGGAGCATTTCGTTATCAACCATTGTGGGTAACTGTCGAGCTCGAAACTTTTCTGAATCAGAAAGGTCAGCCATACTCGCATTCCTGCTGCTTCTCGAACTTGCTTTTGAAATTCTACCATCGTTCGGTGGATTCTCGAATGGTTCTTTGATTTCGGTCATCAATAGAGTACAAAGAGCCTGAAAATTGAAAAATATATATTCGTGGGGAGAATGCTCCCAAACAAACCTGAAACACTCCATTCTTATAGCATACGAATGAGTTTTCGATAGCTCGATGATAAACCATAGTTGGTCCATCGGGATCCATCTCTCTGGTTTTACGAATTGGAACGTTCATAAGCAACTTTTGGTCATATTGATACTCGATTTCTTCATTTTCAAGAGACGCAAAATCAGAAGCAGAACCCTAGAAAAATTCGGGTTGTGGAATAGAGTCATGAGCTAAATACCTGTAGAAGGAACAGAATAATTCGTGCCGATTTTAATCGGACCTCCAAGTCAGCACTTTCCATCCGAGAGCACAAATCCTGTATGACATAGTTTTTCTGAATCTTGCTGAATTCCTCAAACGTCGGTGGAAATTCTTCATGTTTCTTGTCCTGAAATAAAAAAAATATTTCAAAAAGACTGCGAATTTCCTTCTCACATATGATTCCTCGATATACTCTTTCCAGTTATTAATGTTGATTCCGAACTCTTCTATCTCAGAGTAGCTGTATAGCTCTGCCATTTCTCGAATACCACTGTCACTGTCGCCGTACTCAAAATCGAGGTCTTTATCGATAGCGGCTACCTGAAATTTGAAAACATTCCAGTAAGCACAAAAATTATGATATTAACATTATCCGAGCTTTCATGATGAACGAATCCGCCATATGCTGGAGTTATCATGGGCTGTGCTTCTTTTAATTGTTTCAATTTCAAAACATTGGCCGATCTCCTCGCCGCAAGCGAAGATTCAGAGTATTCCACTTGCTCATCGTCTGCGCTCTTTCTTTCCTTGTCACCGTACACTGGAACTTTCGGAAAAATGAAAAAGAATACGATTATTAGTTACCGTCTTCAGCAAAGTTTGGTCTGATTCCCATCACATCCGATGTTCAGTGAAACCTGAAAATATCTTCCCTTCATTTTGATTCTAAACTTTTTTTTTGGAAACTCTTTATCAGCTTTTCTAATGTTCAAATTCTGACAGATATTCGTTTTTGAAATTCGAACTATCGTTTTATTGAATACGGAAAACCGTTAAAAAAAAGCAGTTAAAAATCTCGACAAACATTTTGCAACGACACTCCGTCCTTACACTTAGATGTGCAGGTTAACTCTACCGTAGACATCTCTCTCAACAGCACCATTTTACGGAATTTTTTCTTTTCTCTTAGCGATTTTTATGCTGGCCTACGAAGTCTTTTCACGAAAAAGTACCTTTTCGGTCTTAAAAATCGATTAATTTAAAGTCTTGAGGTTCTTAGTTACTTTCCCTGTCAAAACTATCGCCAAAAGTGCATTTTCAATTTAGGCCTAATTTTTGAACTGTCACTTTTTGCAATTTAAATTTTGAACCTCGATCTCAATGATCTTTAAAATGTAGAAAATGACAAAAAATTAATTTTTGAAGGTAAAAATGGCGGATACTGCTGCTAGAAGACCATCTGCTCCATCCACTGGACGGTAAGTTCATTTGACAATATTATAATCTGTTACTCGATTACGAATTACATTACTCGAACATCTTACTTTACAGTCTTTACGTCAAGGCCATCTTCACTGGATTCAAAAGAGGACTCCGCACTCAATCCGAGCACACCTCTTTGTTGAAGCTCGAAGGAGTTTTCAACAAGGATGACGCCGCCTTCTACACAGGAAAGCGCGTCGTGTACCTTTACAAGGCTCACAACAAGACCTTGGTAATTTCGTTGATTTTAATAACGTCTGATATCAAAATCAATTTTCAGAAAACCGGACACACCGTTGCCACCCGCACTCGTGCTATCTGGGGAAAGATCACTCGCCCACACGGAAACGCCGGAGCCGTCAGAGCCAAGTTCCACCACAACATCCCACCAACTGCTCTTGGAAAGAGAATCCGTGTGGTAAGATTTGTAGTTATTAAGTTTTTTAAAATTTTATAATTTTTTTCAGCTTCTCTACCCATCCAACATCTAAATGGTGTACTTCTGTTATTGTTATTGTTCGCAGTTGTCTTAATAAACAGTTGTGAATTTGAGTGTATGTTTTTCTTTGCATTAAACAATAGAAAGATTGAAATTGCTTCTTATATTGGAGCCAATACAAATAATTGAATATTTTAGTCATGCAATCGTAAAACAGATTTTTCTAACATTTTTATTAACAAGAGCTCTGCGAATTATTTTACAAAGCTAATCTAATTGATGAGTGACATTCTCCGAGTGATGATAATGACGACGGTCTTGATAATCTGGATTAGTTTCGTTCTGCTGTGAAGTCGATACGTCGCTAGTAAATGCAGTCTGAAAATAAGGATGAAATTTTTTCCGAAAGGGGATGCTACTAGTTGCTACCTGTGGCAATATTGTTGTGGCAGTTGATCTTAAAGCGTCAATTGATAAGAAGACAGTTTTGAACATGTGACAAAGAGAGAAATTAGAAATTCCGGGTCCACAGGTTGGGCAAACTCTTCCTATGTACCAGTACAAGGCAATCAGAGCTACGAAGTGGGCAACTGCGAACCAGAAGTGGATCAATAGAAGAATAGCCAAATTCACCAGGAACTGCAAATCGTTTAATTTTAAAGCGACTTTTGTTTTCAGCCCAGATTTTCTCAATTCACATTAGGGAAATATTTTCAGATCGATTTTTTTCACTGTGAAACTCACTCCTAAAAACGAAACATATCTGTTGCTGAACATAGAATACCAAGTCGCTTCTTGAGTTATAATTCCGGTTTCAGTTTCTTCTGTGCTTGTGATATTGACATCGCGTCGTTCAGGAAATAGTTCGTTCAAATCATTCATCTTTGTTGTCGAACCATATCCAACAGTTTCTACCTCGGATGCGTGTTGAACAGTGGCAAGATCGTAGCTCATGGCGAGAGACACATAGGAATAGTTCACATAGGCATACGTTATCAAGAAAGGCATTGTAGAGAGAATAGCTAATTGATTCAAATCACCCAACAATACGAACAAAGATGCTACGCCCATGAGAAGATATCCAGCAAGTACAGGGTTATCATTTGGACCAACCTAAATAACATTTTAATAGATTTATACATAAATTTCAAATTACCCCTCTTGCAAGAACATTCAAGCATGGAATGATTCCTTCCTCAGCGATTCCTTGTAACACTCGTGGAGTTCCTAACAGAGATCCGACAGTAGAAGAGAGTGAACATACATAGAGTCCCACGAGAAAAACGATTCCAGTCAATGCAACCTTTTCCGAGATCATAACATCGCAAAGCAGAGACATCCGATCACCAACCCCACCGAGAACCATAATAAAAACAAAACAGATCGTAGAGCTAACACCGACAGCCGATAGTTCTCCAAGTGGAATACTCTTATGTGGATCTTTAAGATCTCCGCTCATATTCACACCAGCCAATACTCCAAGGAAGTTGGCGAAGAAGACTCCGAAAACGGTGAAGAAGGATTGTTCGGGAATCTGACGTGGAATACCGACGGCCGAGCAGTTGACAGCTTCATAGTGAGATTCTGCATTCACACGAATGCGGGCAGATGAGAAGCGGAAAACTCCAGATTCGGGTTGACTGGTGAGTAGTGCTCCGAAGATAAAGTCGGTGACAGCGAGAGCGATGGTTAGGAGAAGGACGATTTGGAGACGGACAACCCAGGTGACACCAGCAGTATTCACAGCTGAAAATGTTAATTTGGTACGAAAGATCGGAAGGTCCCACAACGATAACTACCATAATCTGAAAATGATTTTATTTTCTGGATCAATTTTCTCGGTTTTTACTGATTTTTGTCGATTTTTCTGTTCATTTTTTGCCCAATAAACATTGGCTCCGCGTCAAAAAAAAACTGCGTTAATACAGCCGAAACGATGAACTTCAGACTACAAAAACAATTTCAGCGATTTCAAATATGCTTTTTCCTAATGGAACGCATTCTGAGATTCGAGAAAAAATCGAAATTTTTATTTTTTCAAAAAAAAAAATTAGAAGAAACATTTTTTTTGAAAAATTTAAATTTTTTATTTCTTCGAATTTCTTTTTTGTAGTCTGAAATGCATCGATTTGGCTGTATTAACACGGGTTCGAAATGACGCGGAACCGGAAAATCAACATTTTGATTTTGAAAAATTGACTGAAAACGTACGTAAATCGAATAAAAAACAGAGAAAAAACATTTTTAGGTTACGGTAGTTGTCGTTGTGGGACTTTCGTCTAAATTTGAAAAATACCTGTAAGAACCATGAGTGTAAGAATCGCAATCGCTTTGATCAGAACTTTGCTTTCCGATTCAAACAAATGAGCAACAGACTCTCCGAATCCGACAGCAACCAGTCCAGTGGCAACAGCTTGTCCAAATGCATAGATTATTCCGACGGCACCTCCAAGTTGATGGCCAAGTACATGTGATACCAAGAAGTAGATTCCACCAGACTATTTGAAAATTGTAATGGAACAAAAATAATACCGTAAACGCTACAATAGAACGCCCTCTAAATTTCAACTTTGAGCCAATTTATCTCGGTTCCTGTGAAAGATATCAAGAAGTTGTAACTTAATAATATGTTGCTGACATTATGATAAACAATTTGTCAGTTGACCACTTTTTGATATCTTTTTCAGAAAATGAGATACATGAGCTCAAAATTGAAAGCTCAAAGAAAAAATTTGGAAGCGTTCTATCACAGTCTTTACGGTAACCATTAGCTCACCTTGATCTGACATCTCTCCACAATTCCAATAGCTGAGAAAACAGTGATGAGAGCAAGAGAAGTGCATATTCCAAGAAGAAGAATTGAGTTAGCTACTCCTGCAGTTCCAACAATCCATCCAAGACGAAGGAATACAATGATTCCGAAGATGTTGACCATGACAGTGGCAAAGACTCCATCCCAAGTACCAAACAATACCTTATCCTTGGTTAGGATTGTTCTAGAATAAATTTTTTTAAATGTCTCTTGTTTTGTTTGTTTTTAAATGGATACATTCTGGGTAACTGCGTTATACAACATACCGTTAAACCTGTAAACTTTAATCCCATATACCTATTACCTGTAAAAGATATCAAAAAGTGGTCAACTAACAAAAGTTTTCTGATACTAGGTTAAACATTTTATTAATTGACAACTTTTGTATATCTTTGATAGGAACAGAGATAAATTGGCTAGGAGACCTTCCATTACGGTGGTTATGACTTAAAGGAAATTCACCAAATTAAAGGTGGGGGGACATGAAAAAAATAATGTTCTCGAAATTCCGTTCAAAGATGCCTCTCGAGGAGTTGAACTTGTGAGGGCGATGATTGAGGGTGCGGCGCCGCTACCGACTGAGCCACGCGGGCAAAGAGAAAACGCACTTCCGATTGCATACATAAAGGCGAGGACGACAGCTGTACGCAGAGTGACATTAAGCGTTATACACCGTGACGGTAGAATGCATACTCTAGCTACAAAAAAACTACGAAAAATCTCCTGTCCCCCCACCTATAAATTTTAAAAAGGGACCCAAATTTTTCATTTTTTATTTAAAAAAAAGCAAAAATCTCAGTTCTCGTCCGTTTTTGGAAACTTCTGAAAGATTCTGGAATTGTTTTTGAATTCCCGCAAAAGCTGTAATCTCTGAAAAATTAGCTGTTTTTTGGCGATTTTTCGCAAAATTTTTAGACCTTTTTAGGTTTTTCAGCTATTTTTGAAGATCCTTTTTTGATTTTTCCTTTTGTCTGAAATTTGGGGGGTACGACGAATTCGAACGTTTTCAAAATCGAACAGACCTACAATCGAACAGATTCAATTCAGAACAGTCCTTTTTTCGCACACGTACCA